GTTTGAGAATCTTACTGATATGATTTCATATTTCTCATTACTATTAATCTTTAAGAAACTACCACTTGGGCCTCCCCTGGTGGCACAGGCAGTTGAGTGTAGCACTGTGAAGCTGTCTGGTTTTGTTCCTAGAATACGTGATCCTCCGTGTAGCAAACCCAGAGAGAAAACAGCAACTAAATACTGAAACTAGTGATTATAGCAAGGCTGCAGGATACAATAGTAATAAAAAGTTAAACAGCACAGTAGAAAAAAACCACAAAGATTTCACAGAAGAAAAATACATGATAATAAGCTGTAAGGGAAGAATCAATGTCATTAATAATTAGATAAATACAATTAAGACTGTAATGAAGTGTAATATTTAATCTCAGATTGGCAAAAATGAAAAAGGCAGAAAATATCAACTGTTTCGTAAACATGAAACAATGGAAACAAGTAGTGTAAATCAATACAACCACTTTGGAAAACAATTTGACATTTTCGGTAAAGTTGAACATTTACTTATCATATGACTGGCAATCCCCATTCTAGAAATGTACTCGATGAATCATTGCACATGTGAACCAGATTATAGATATAAGGTAAGGTACGCATGTGTCCAACTTGAAAAGGTGATATCAAATTGCTTTCTAAAGTGGCTGTGTCAATTGAAACTCTCCAGCAGTACAAGGGTTTGCATTGTTCCACATTCTTTTTTTTTAATTTATTTTTTATATATATTTCTTACATCATTTTTCATTTTTGCACAATGTATGCATTTTCATCTTGGTTATATTCCCCATACAATTGCACCCCCCTTATTTTGACCCCAATCCCTCCTCACCTGGTAGAGATAGGGTAAGGGGGAATGGTGATATTAAGGAGTTTATCACTGGTTTGGTTTTGACTGAGCCTTTATGTTTCTCTGAATTCCACATACCAGGGAGAACATCCTGAATTTGTCTTTCTCCTTCTGACTTATAGAACTTACAGAACTCTACTTTAGGAATTTTGAAATAGTTACCAAAATATTGCCAGATTCACAAGCAGATAAGCCTAGATTCGGAATCTGAAATTTAATCTCACATATGTGTCAACTCTTAACTTCTTGCTGACTTTTGTCATCTAACTACCTTTCTCTAAGGGTGTCTGTTTTTTAATATATATTTTTTCTTATTTCTGTCCTCTTGTCCAAACTGATATGATATGAAAAAGCATTAAGAATCTGGTAACAATATCATAATTCTCTTTCTGCCAGGCTGACCCTTTGCCTTTAAAGGAGGGCTATTGTATGCCAAAACATACTCATAGAGCAGTGGAGTCATTCATTTTATTCTATATAGAACTGATGGTAGCAATGATAACAATCCTGGGTGGGTAAAAATTTAGACTTGATGGTTATAAAAAATGAGAAAACTCATTGGATCGAAGGTTAGAGTTGTGAAAGATCATGTTTTTCTCATTACTGTTTTTTAAAAAATATTTTTTCTCTGAGTAGTTAATTTTAGGGAGGGAAGTGCTGTGTGAGCTGTGTGAATAATTACTGGAAACACCATTCAGACCTCTTCTGAACAAGGATACAGGTAGTGAGAACCTGTGTTAATATCAGGAATAGTTGTTGTAGACTCAAAAGAACTCTCTATTCTGCTCATTATTGCTGGGTAAGTAATTGCTAGATTAAGCATTACAGCTAATTGTGTTTAGAATTTAGTTGCTTTTATTTCCTCTTCAGAGATATCAATTTGCTAAATCCTTAAAAATACCCTGAGTTCACCAGAAAATATTTGCTATATAGTTTTTACCTAAAAAATGAAATTGACAGAATGTTAGTCATCAAAAGTCTAGATTTTGCAGGAATTAACCAACTGGACTTTAAAAATTATGCTTATTTCCAAATTGACAGAATGTTAGTCATCAAAAGTCTAGATTTTGCAGGAATTAACCAACTGAACTTTAAAAATTATGCTTATTTCCAAATTATCTTAATTTTAGTAATTTATTTGTTTATATTATAAAATTAAATTATTTCAGAATCGATGTTATACTTTGTGAACCAGATTCATTTAACAAAATCTGCAAATATTGTGACAATTTGTATGGCATGCTTTCCAAACAGAGGTTTTAAATCATATATGTAGAAGTTGCTAGCTATTCTAAAGGTACAATAAGAGATTATTGTTCATATTGGTGTAATAAATTGATACTCCCTGATCGTACTTTTTCATTTTGCACATTGTCAGAACCTTGGACCTTAATCTTATTCTTTGATTGACAGTAGTGACTAGGGAAAGAACATTTGTATTGTTTGGGATAGTCACATCTGTTCAACTTGATTCAGTTGAGGGTATTTGCATATTCTTAAGTATTTCTTGTGAGAGGGCTTAAATCCTTCTCAAGTGCTTGATGCATTTTGAAATTCATTCATAAGGTATCTACATGCACTAATAGTTCTGTATAATATTACAGCGCATAATCTGACAGATAAGACCACATTTTAAAGTAAGGTATTCTTTAGGGATGCTGCATTACATTTTTACTTGTTCTACTGGCAGAAATGTCTTTTTTTTTTTTTTTTGAAAAATGCTGCTTTTATGTGTTGATCAAATTAGTGTATATCCTTATTTTAGGTGACTTTGTCAATCATACGACAATAATAACTCAAAAGTTATTGGTAGTTTTTCCTGCCTTGGATAATTGAGTAATTTTATAGAAACTATTGTCGAACTTAAATGGATTTCTGTTTAGTCTCTTTATGTTATAGGGAAAGTTACCAAAACGTAAGTTAACTGACCTAACTCAAGAGCTAGACAACTTGGAAATTAGGTCTTAGATTTATGTCTGAATTCCCAGACACTAAGGAGTGGTGGTATATGATGTCTGACATACATTGTTTACAAATTATCATATCTGAAAAGTCCCCTTGCCATAATCATAATCATAATCAGGAATAATGTCTTACTCATCATCATCTCTCTCCAGAGTTGACACCATGTGTTATACATGGTGAATACCCAGTCATTATTTTGCTGTCCTGTTTTCATTGTTCTTAGATGCTGTTATTCTGTAAAGGATATCTTTTAAATGAGATACCTTATTACTGGAATGTGAAACACCTTTGATAGCAAATAGGCCTCACTTGATGTCCTATTGCCCTTGGATTGGCAATTGAGAAGAATTTTGAGGTCTTCCATAGTGGTGTCTGCCACAGGCAGAGGATCAGAGAAAACAGCTGTTTCTTCTTTGATATATGTGATTTTAGGGGTGAGAGAGAGAACTACAGATAGGAATAACTAGGAATAAGTCCTGGGAAGAAATAAGGCTCAAATTATGGAATAGATGTCAGATACTTGAGGCAAAAATGAGGTAGAATGCCACATGAACTAGTGTAGTGGCAGGAAGGCCACAGTGCAGGATCTCTGTGATCCTATGCAGACGGGTAAATGAGGGTCCTGGAGCCCTCGGTAGCTTTTTCAGGCTTTTATTGGGATTTTACCAGGTACAGGGCAGGCAGGGGTGCCGGGGGGGGGATGGGAGACTCAGCCTCCTAGTCCCCGGTGAATCTTCATTCTTCCTGGGCTCTCTGGTGTTCTCTCGTGGTCTCGCTCTCTCTTCTGCTTTTCTTCTCATTCTCTTCTCTTGCTTCCTCTGGTGTCCCTGTGATGCCGCCCTTAAAAGCCAGTCTCAACCCAGGTGTACCCACCTACATATGTCCACATCTTACTCTAGGTGCCTGCCATCAGGCAGGCATTCAGGACCACAGGTATCATCATTAATCTAATGGCAGGAGGGCAGAAAAGCCTGATACTTTTTTACTTACCCTACAGCTGGGATTTCTATTTAATAAATTATAGGCATTCAGAAAGGAGAATGATCATTAGGTTATATATTAAGTATAATCAGAGAAAGGAATATAGTTGTTGAGTATTTGATACTAGCCATGTATTACACCCTTTTTTACAGGAGCTCTGGAGTCTTTCTGCCCTAGTTTCCATTACTTGCTTTTCCTTTCCTGAGATATTTATTTGTTCTAGTATTCCCTTATTTCATCTTCCCTTATTTCATATATATGCCTTACGTAAAGATATAAAATGAACTCTTGCCATTCATTACAACATGGATGGAACTGGAGGGGATTATGCTAAGCAAAGTAAGCCAGGAGGAGAAAGAAAAGTACTAGATGGTGTCACTCCTAATGTAGAATATAGAGAGAAGAAAAAAGGCAGACAAAACCAAACCAAAACCCTGCAAACCTGACTATAAAATAATACAGGAGGGGGAGTGGGATGGTGGAGAGCAAAAGGGGGAAGGGACTCAGTGGACTTGGTGGAGGACTATGGGTGCCTTGATGGTGCATGTGATGTGGTGTAGTGGCAAGAAGGACACGGAGCAGGATCTCTATGACCCAAGCAGACAGGTGAAGTAGGAGTACTAGAGCCCTCGGTGCCTTTTGCAGGCTTTTATTGGGATTTACCAGGCACACAGCTGGCAGAGGTGCTGCGGGGCCGGGAGACTGGCAGGCCTCCCAGCCCCCAGCATGTCTTCACTCTTTCTGGACGCTCCAGCGTTCTCTCGCGTTCTCTCTGCTTCTTGTGGTTCTTGTGCTGGCGTCTCCGTGACGCTGCCCGTATAAGCCCAGCCTTAGCCCAGGTGAATCCCATCTACATATGCCCACACCCTATTCCAGGGGCCCGCCATCAGGCATGCATTCAGGACGGCAAGGATCCATCATCAATCCTAATGGGGGGTGGGTGGGCAGAAAAGCCTGATACTTTTTACCTTACCCTACATGTGGTAGCATACATTTGAAGTGTGAACATACACCACCAACTCTCATATAGTGTTGTAAACCAATGTTACCTCATAAATTTTGTTTAAAAAGAAAAAATTTTTTTCGTTTTGTTATAGGAATTCATTGCAGAAGGAAGTTCTTAACTTATTTAATCATGTTATGAAAACAGTATTTAAAATATTTGATTATAAAGTAACTACAAATTATATAATTATTTTTTGTGTCTCAGGAATCCCCTTCTGGTCGAAGGAAAGCTCTTGCTACTAGCAGCATCAATATGAAACAGTATGCAAGCCCTATGCCAACTCAGACTGATGTCAAGTTAAAATTTAAGCCATTGTCTAAAAAAGTTATATCTGCCACACTCCAGTTTTCATTATCTTGCATTTTCCTTCGGGAAGGAAAAGCCACGTAAGTATCTTTTGTCAAATAAACTGCTTTCGAGTGTGTTTTAAAACATGGTGGGTAAAAAGCTTTTGACTTAAGTAGACTGGCAATACTTGAGAACATCTTACCACATACCAGTCATTCTTGCCATTCTTTTTATCTTGTTATTTATAGTCTCTTGACTCCAGTGAATGAATAATAATATAAACGTTGATTATTGCAGGTTTCAGTTTTTAAATTGTGTATTATAGGGTCTCATACATGTTTGTTTTATATTACAATGTCTTCAGTGTAAGGAACTATACTCCAAAATACAAACATTTCAATTTGTAAAGCTGTTTGATACCGCTGATACATGAGAGAAAACTCAACTAAAAAGTTTAAGATAGACGGATGAAAGAACTAAAGGAACTTTTGCCAATTTATGGTCTTTGACTCAGCCTTCCAAAAATTATATAGGATGGCACTGTTAATTAGATTAACAGTTTGATATAATTATCATTCTTGTAAAACATCACTTCTTAAGCATTGAATAGGCAATTGCACAAAAATAATTCCTATACCAAATTCCTAAAAGAGCAAATAATTCTTAAAAGAGCAGAATTGTAACTGGATAAAGTGAGTTGAGCATACATAAACAGGAGGAAAAAAATAACTTTCACCTTTATTGCATACAGTCAAGTCAAGGGTATGTGTATGTTTTGGGTGTGGTAGAGTGGAAGATCAGGAAGAAGAGAAATGAAAATTATATGCTTAGACTTAAAAGGTCAGGAGAAGAGAGCAGCTATGAATATTTCAATCCAGTCTGAATCACAGTTATGAATGTATTTGACCTAGTGGAATGTGTTTACTATAATTGGCCATGTCTGTCTGACTGATTTAAGACTGGATTCTGTGCGTCAGTCAGAATGAGATGTTTGGCACTCATCTCCAGGACAGCAAATGACTTGATAGATAACAGTAAGCCTCTTCTCTGGAAAGCTGGTTTCTGAGTGAGTATGGTAGGGAAATAGAATGGAATGGAAACAATTAGTATTTCCTCTCAGGACCTTAGATTGTGAACTTAAATACTGAGAAATTAAAAATAAGAACCTTACCTTGAAGTTCAAGTGAGTATGAAAGGAAAGGGAACACAGAAAGAAGTATAAAAACAAAATCAGCCCATCCTTTGAAGGTGGTGTCCTTTCTACTGGTCAATAACAAGTAAGTGAATCAGCACCATTCACCAAAATCTGGGTAAAAGGACATTCAGTCAAAAATAATGTCTTAATTTGGGTGGAGAATTCTCTCATAATACCCTGAAATCCCTCTCTCCTCATTCCTTGCCTCCTGACATTTCCCAAAGGAAAACATTAAGGGTTAAAATATGAAGGAATTAGGTAAAATTAAGCAAGTTAACATTTTGAGAATAATACAATATCTTGAAATCATTCCTTATTAATGTGAGCTGTTTCTAAGGCATTCATACAAAGTAATATAACTTCTTTTATTCATGCAGATTTTGTCACTAAATTTATTTTTGAAAGGTGAAATGATTTTATTAACTCCTCAATTTATATGAGATTAAAAGAAGAGATGTAAAACAATTTAATCTGCAAAGTCATACCATGTTTAGAAGATAAGTGGATATTAAGATGTATTATTTTACAAAAAAAACCAGTGCTTTTTAAAGTTTTTTTTGTAGAAAGTGTTTTAATTTGACATTCTGAATTTGGGGGATGTATATCATTCATGTTCAAATTTAGTTTATATATAAAATTAATTATGACCCAATTTTATGTGCTATAGTTTATTTGAAATTTAAGGTGAAAATAATAAATTAAGAAAAAATTATTTTACATGTAGGGCATCTAAACTTTATAAATTTATATTTAAAATATTTTAACATAAAATCATTATTACATTTTATCAAATATAAGATTTTTAACTTATCAACCCAGTTAATTTTTCCCTTTTGAAATTCTTAAAAAACTAGACTTTGCTTAAGGAGCCTTTTCTGTTAAAATAGTTCTTTAACTTTTGGGAATTAATAGCCCCCTTAAGAAAAGTATACATTTAGACAAGATTTCAAGATAATTTATAAAGATTTACCACTTCTTTTCCTTCCTACCCACAAACCCAAAAGGGTTCATGGACTTCAGATTAAGAGTTTCCATTCTAATTCCTTTTGAAAGTTTGAATATTTTAAAGTTTAGATATCATTTGATATGTAAACTGTCTAGCTGTTTTATGGAACAAGTTTGTTTTCCTGATTAAGATTTTTCCCCCCATGATTAAGAAACCATGCTTTAAATTTTTAGTCTTCTATAGATCTACAACACAGAATTAAACTAACTCCTAATGAGTTAGTTTTTATTTATGTTTGTTTTTAGTAATTAAACCTGCCATTTAAAAATTAATGAATTTGAGTACTTAGATTTTTAAATATTCTTGCATAAATGTTAAGATTATAGAAGGAATACATTATTTTCTTAAGAAAATAATTCATTTGAAGAATTGTTTATTTTAAATCATTGATATAGGGATGAAGACATGCAAAGTTTGGCTAGTCTGATGAGTATGAAGCAGGCTGACATTGGCAACTTAGATGACTTTGAAGAAGATAATGAAGAAGATGATGAGAATCGAGTAAACCAAGAGGAAAAGGCAGCAAAAATTACAGGTTGGTTTTATTAGCATTAAGTTAAAAGTTTATCTTTTTTTTTTTTTTTTTTTAGCAGAGTTGAAAAGCTCATCCTTATTTCCCAGGAAAAAAACAATTCCACTAACAAGGTATTGTTTTCTATTTTAAGTCTTTCTAATATACTCCTTTCCTCCCTGAAAATTTGAATGCCAATTGTAATGACTTAACAAATTTTGTAGGTCAAGATCAAGTCCAACTAAAGAGAGAGTAACATTGTCCTGTAACTACTGATTTTAGTATAAAGTTGCCTAAATATGTTTATACTTCCTTTTCAATGTGTGGATGAATCCTCTGTTCAGTAAATACCGGCTCTAAAAGATGAAATGAGGAGATGTAGTGACTACCTTCTCCTAGCTCATGTTTATTTATTCAAATAAACAATTTGTGCATATTCTCTATTTTGAATTTCTGTATATCTTATGTATTCTTATACCTAGAAGCTAACATAAATTTATTCTTTATAGCTGGTTTGACCAAACTATTAAGATGGTAAGTAGTTAGAATTTTTTGTATTACTTGACCAATAATATTTATTGAGAATCTGATTATAATACCTAAAGAACTGATATCATACCTTTATTATTGGAGTGAAAACCATGCAGTATTTATATACTCCTCTTAGCTAACAAATTAAATTTCTGGATTGCTAACCCTTGACTCCTATCATCTGTTGATATCTTGGTGAGTTTTCCAAATACATTGGTTACTTTGACACTCATCTCTTATCTCTGCTTCAACTCTTGCTATTATATGGAGGATTGCTATTAATCACGTGAATGACCTTCTTAACTCCTTTGCCCAAAAATTCTTGACTTTCTCAATCTCCAGTTCATTTCCACTGTGCTCTTAAGAAATCTATTATAAGGAGTTGCTCTATTATAAGTATGGGTATGCAAAAAGGTGTTTTTTTCCTGCATAAATTTTTGTTTTTAAATGACTACCATTTTCATTTCATATTTAACTCAAGGTGGTTAGGACAGTGTGTTTTATCAGGACTTTGTTCATTTCTGTTTTATTCGTAGTTTAATTTCATTCAAATGAGATTCTGAAATTTGTCAAGTTTCAATTAAAAATATGATTGACATTATAGGTGTGAGAAAGGGCTGAGTGAATATTCATAGGCTGCAATGATATTGGCACATGAGCAACCTGACCCAGTAAATACTGATCTGCTCTGGAAGCTTTGGCTAATGTGATCACAAAACTCCAATGGGACAGAAAGTGTCAAGATGAAGACTTTTATTTTATCTGAAAGATAGAAATGAATTGTTCTGAATAAATTCTTGTTTGAGAGAGTAACCTGATAAAATTAAAATGTTTTAAAAAAATAAAAATATGATTGAGAATTTTTTCTTTATAGTCTAGATATATGAAATAGTTTTGTAAATTTTTCCTAAAATATCTTATATATTATATTTGTTGGATTCAGCATAAAGCTAATAGACTAAACTTTAAGTGTATATTGTTTAATTACATATATTCTCTTTTTAAAAGATTTATTTATGAATATAAGAATTGTGGTGTAGGTCACAGGTTTGGGGGGAGGGGCAGTGTATGAAAGGATTCACCAGAGACAGAGTAGGGAGCAGAACAGGAGGATCTACTGAAATACACTGTCTAGGGTAGCAGCAGGTGAGATAGGAAAGGTCTGCTGTGCCATGTGGGTTAGCTCCCTGCCAGGGATAAAACTCATGCTGCAGTCGCTGGTGATAGCTTGATAAGTGCTGAGCCTTAACCCCTTGTGTTACCAGGTAGGCCCTAATTATGTGTATTCTTACTCATTTTGTTTAGTTCATCTATGAAACAGAGAACTTCACTATTAAACTGTTTAGTCCATAAAAATGTATTCTTGGGGACCTCCCCAATGGTGCAGCAGGTTGAGTGCAGTGCTGTGAAGCTGTCCACAGCCTCTGAAGTGCAGATTTGATTCCCAGCCAGCCAGGGAAATACCTGCATGGTGCAGCAGACCTCTCCTGTCTCGCCCACTGCTCCCCTCAGCAGTGTTTTCCGTCCATCTGCCTTTTCTGCTCCCCACTCTGTCTCTGGTGAATTCTCTCACCCTCCCACACTTCTGGCCTATATCCCAGTTCTTGTATAAATAAATCTTTCTTTAAAAAAAAAGAAATTAACTATTACTTAAAAAAAAATGTATTCTTGGGCTTCCCTGGTAGCACAAGGGTTTAAGACCCAACCTATGAAACTGTCTGCAGCTACTGCAGCACAAGTTCAATCCCCAGCCAGGGAGCTACCCACATGGTGCAGCAGACCTCTCCTGACTCACCCGCTGCTCCCCTCAGCAGTGTATTTCAGTCAGCCTACCTGTTCTGTTCCCCACTCTCTCTGGTGAATCCTCTTACCCCCACACCTCTGGCCTGAACCCCCGTTCTTTTGTGCATAAATAAGTAAATCTTTAAAAAAAAATGTATTCTTAAGTAGTTTTGTGGATTGTAATTTGTATCAGTTTACCCCATTTAGTTTCTCACACCTTGAAATTTTACCTGAATGTCAATACTTGTAACCCATATTTTCTTTATATATTTATTTTCTTACTTTATCATTTATTTTTAACCTGTTAAGTACTTCTCTTTTAAACAGTATTTGGGTGATTTAACCTTATGATCTTTAACTTTTAATAGTTACATTTCTTCATAATTGAAATACTTACATTACTTTTACTTGGGAATTTTCTTCTTATTTTTTTTTTTTACCCATCCCCTACATTTACCATTCTCAGATATTCTGTAAGTATTGCTTAATAAAGTAATTTAACAGTTATACGTTCTATTTTCATTTGAGTAGCATTATCTAAAATAAATAAAACAGAGGAATAAATGAGACAGATATGTTCACTCAAGAGAGATTTATATAATTCTTTAGTTGAACTCTCCCCCAATAACAAATGCTTGCATTTATTTCTTAACTTAATACTTCTTTACATTTACAATGATGTCAGCATGAATTATTAGTCATGTCTCTCTTATGTTTGAATTCTTTGGGGCTTTGGTTTTTGTCTTATTTTTTTGACTATCTATAGTACATCAAGATGAATAAGTTTGTATTCTTCCGCTCCAACTACTGATGATCTTCTGCTTACCTTTAAAATTTTAATTCTGTTGCCATACTCTTAAGAAGCTTTTCGTGCCTACTAACTATTAATCTTGACCACTCAATCCTTAATGCTACTGCTCTGTCATTTGCAAATGCAGGCACATTTTCCTACAGCATGAATTTTTATAATTCTGATTGAACTTTTATTTAAAGTATTAGAAATTAGGTATGGTTTCAAAGCAGTCAGCACTTCTGTCTATATAACATCCTCACAATGCTTGAATGAGTATTTGACAATATGATCATCGTTAGGGTTCATTTAAATTTCTAAAGAGAAACTAAGAGGAAGAGAAAAAATATACCTACATAAATGACAAGGTTTTTTTTTTTAATTAGCTCAGAAAATCAGGTTCAGCTGAAATGGTTTATGTAAAGCTTTATGGGGAAAATTTAGACATTATAAGGCTCCTGAAAGGTCCTGGTATTACTTATGGTTTATCTTGCAAAGATCACCTAGGATTCTAATTAGTCTCAGATATTCAGACTTACAGACTTACATGACCTGAACAAGTCAAACTTAGTATTAGACTCAATTAGAAGAATACTGGTCAGGAAACAGCATGCCAGTGGAATATTCACTGGAATCCTCACAGCCACCCAGGTGCTATATTCTTTGACCTCTATGCCCAAATGACACTTTGGGTGCAAGGAGATTACCTTGATTCAAAATCTCATGCTGCATAGGAGTTGATAGTTTTGTGACAATTTGATAGGTACAATTGCAAGGTACATGCCTTGTTACAAGAGTCAACAATCAAAGATGTCAAATATGCCCTTTGTTCGATCCATAGTCCTTTTAGAGTCCTCCCACTTAGATGTAATTTATAAATCAGTATTCATTTTTACCATAAACATTGGTGACTGATATTTGATAATCCTTTTTTAAAAGTTGGTAAATTTAATTTGGGAGGAGAGTGACATGGCTACCTTTAGGGAACATAATTTTAAAAGCACAGATGGTTGTAGAGGAGATAGCAGTTCGTATTTGAAGAACCAGTTGATAGTATGCTTAGCCTTCTGATATTAAATGTCCAACTTGCTAGGGCTATTAGTGGGGATAAATAGGTCTTTCTCATTTGATTAGAAGGTTTCTCAAAATAAACTTGGGATTCAGAGAATACATTCGTTGAATTGCTGCTTTCTTTTATTTAGGTACCTCCCCTGCAGTATCTAGGATATTCCTCAAGAAAATTATAGAATATCGTGTAGACTCTATAAAAATAAAAATATTAAAATGGCCACCTATTTTCAATGTCTATGTAATGGATGAGAAGTTATGAAATACTGCATCTGTAAAGTAGTAAGTTTGGGAAATAGTGTAGAATCAGAACAATGGGACATTTCTGATCCCTTGAACTAAAAAGTTAATAAGGCACATAGCTACCTATTATAAAGAAGTTTAAGACCCTAGGATAAGAAATTGAAGACAGCAAGAATATTTCTACTCAGTGTTTAGAACTCAATTGTGTCAACTCAGAATATTTGAAGTATAGATTACAAATTTGACCTACTCTAAAGAAGTTGGGTCTCTGATATTTAGGGTTAGAAGAGTTACAGGGCAGGGCGAGGGGCACCCCCTAACCCCCAAACCTCCCTGCTCTAAATAGGTTTGCCATTCGCCACATCAAGACAAAACATACTCTAGTGTATAAGATCTTTAATGGAAAGGAACTTTAATGCAATACCTGTGTAATACAGAAAAGGGAAAGAATGAAGTTCCCAAATCAAGCACCCAGAGTTACCCATACTCTCCTGGGTTAATGTCCAGCCAAACAGGGTTGGCCCAAAGCAGGGTCACTGAGGCCCAAAAGCCTGCCACAAGTCTAAGGCACCTTCTCATGGTTACCCATAGGAAAGGGCAGAAGGGGCCA